GCAGGGCAGAGCTGGTTCTGCTGATTGGTGTCTGGGGGTATCTGCACCTCTGCACATAGGGGTGCTTGCCAGATGGCTCCTGGGGAGGCTGAGGCCCCCTCCGATCTCCCAGTGCTTCCCAGCCCCTTTACAGCAAGGGTGTGTTGCCCACCACAGACTTCTGCTGATGTAAAAATGGGTGCAGCATCCACAAAAGGGGCATAAAGTGTTTGCCCATCCTTCAGGGCTTCTCTGCCTGTAACTTCAGGGGCTCCTCTTTGGGATGGACTCAAAAAGAAAAGAGCTTTGTCACTGTCTGTGAGAGGCAGGCTGCTGTTGGCTTGCAGGTCACATCTGGCCTGCAGGAGTGGTCCTGTGGATGTCTCTGTGTGCTGCTGGTGGACATGAAGCTCACCAGCTGTGTCCTCTGATGGCTTGGGCTGGCTCAGACTCCAAGTCCTGCGCTGAGTGCATGGACAGTGATGAGTGCCACAGGAGTCTCCGAATCCATGTCATGCTCCTGCCGCTGTGCAGATCAGACCACCTGGAGCAAGGAGAGGGACAGCGTTGGTGTCCTGAGTTTCCCATGTTGGGAAGGTGGGGATGCACCTTTGGAGCTGTTCTCTGTTGGCTCCCTAGGTCTTCTTTCAGGCCAGGAAGAGGATTCTTGCAGCCACAGAGGGTCCTGGCAGGCCTGGCTGTGGCTGGTTGCCTATTGGGTCTGTCTTATTGGAATGTCTTTGCGGGTTGGTGCTGTTTCACCACATCTTTCCTGTGTGTCAGTACCCCAGAAGGGACTCTCCTGCCCTCAGGAAATGACTCTGAAGGAGCTATCTGTCTCCTGGGAAAACAGCTAATCCCACGCAGAAACATTTTTAAACATTTTTCCCAACTCACCCTTGCCCAAGCTGCACTGGCTCTTTCTCACCTAAAAACTTAGATGCCAGAGCAGGTGTGTTAGTTATGATTTACAGTCTTCACATGTGCCAAGAGTGTTCTGTGGAGTGTGGGAAGGAGGGAGGATTGTTTGGAAACAGAAGAGTGAAGTGGATCCTGGTGGACTGCTGGGCATGTGGCTGTCTGTCCCACACTGCACCCTCAAGCTCTTGCCAGGGCTCTGGGGAAACTCAGGATATTGGTTTGGCTCTTGCAGCCCCATCAGGACCTGCAGCACAGAGCATGCGCCCCTGCCTCAGCCTCTTCAGCACAAAGTCCGGGCTCTTGGCTTGGAATCACCTTTATCAGCAGTTTTTCATAGGTGCCAGGCTGTGGAGCAGGGAGCAGGATGGCTTCTTTCTGTCGACCTGGCTGCTGGGTAAGGAGGGGATGCTGTGTCAGGGACAGTGTGCCAGAGCTGAGGACTCTGCATTCCTGCTGGGAGCCTGAGCTGCCCTCTGAGGCTGCCCAGCTGCTGCTGGGGTTCTGGGAGCCCTTGTCTGCATTGCATGAGTGGTACACCTGGAGCAGGCATTATAGCATTCTTGCTATAGGTACAGGTATTTCTCCAGTAATGCCAGGTCTCTGCCCAGCACGGCAGATTTATTCCCTCTCTTCATTTACCTTCTCTAAATTCCGTTATAAATTCAATTGGATGCAAGGAAAGGCAGGAAACAGTTGCTGGGTGTTTGGTTTCATTTTCCTAGATAAGGTAGTAGATATGTCTCCTTGGCTGAGCTCAATGGTCTTATGTCATGTGGATCTTAGCTGTGGATCTGCCATCAGTCTGGCTGTCTGGTCCTTGTGCAAGGGCTCTTCTTCCAGAGAAGTGTTTGCTCACCTGGATGCCCCTGTGAGCCTCCCAGCCCAGGGCTCTGTGCCCCAGCCAAGTGTGGGCTGCAGGAAAGCACAAGGGGTCTGCACAGCCTTGCCCTTGGTGTTTGTCAGGTGCATTGGGGAGTGAGTGTCCAAAGCCAGCAAGTGCTCTGGCTGTGGCATGGCCATGGGCAGGGTTTGGCTGTGATGGCAGCATTGAGGCTGCTGTGGGTGCTCTCACCTGAGCCTCATCCCCTTGGTTGCTAAGGAATAATCTCCTCGTGGCTGGGCAACCCCATGGCTGGGCAAATGATCAGGTTCTGGCTGCAGGCAGCAGATCAAAACTCGAGACCTGCTTTTCTGTTCTTGGCTGTGCCAGCATCTGCTCTGTGGCCGCAGGCAAAGCTGCTCCTTGCTTCCCTGCCCGCTGTCCCCGTGCCAGCCTCACACCACTAAAGCCCTGGCTCCTGCTGCAGCTGTTTTGTCTGTCCCCTCACACAGAGAGGCCCTGTTTCCAAGGAGGTGGTCAGGCACTGCTAGTGCAACTGAAATTACTTGCTGCCACCAAACAGATGCAAAAGGAGGGTTGTGAGACATCTGTCAGCAGCTTCTAAAGGCTCGGCTGTGCACCAAGGCAGTATCCAGTGTCCCTCGCTGCTTGTGCTGAGCTCCTGCATGGGATGAGCAGCGCTCTCTTGCTCTCCACTTCCCAGGCTGATGCACTGAGGTTTTCCTGCAGGGAGTCTTTTCAGCTGAGGACCACAGAATGTGTTTCTGGTGCCCTTGGTTATGTTGCTGTGCCCTGGAAGATGCCAGGTGTGCATGACCTCTGCTTGCTGTGGTCTTGGCTCAGCAGATGCTGTGTCTGGCCATGTGTCCACCAGCACAGTCAGACCCTCTCGGTCTCCTGCTTTGGTCTCCACCGTGAATTGCTGGATCTCAGCTCCATCCATGCTCCACATGCCCGCAGCACCGAGCAGCCTCCCTCCCTCCCTCCCGGGCTGCAGCCCTTTGCTTTGTGTTTTGTCTTCCGCAGTGCTCTGCAAATGCTAATTAGTCTTCTCAGCACCTCAGCGAGATAAGGGATCCCTGTTCATATCTTGCAGATAAGGAAAGCAGCAGAACTTGTTTTAAACAATCTCCTCCCTCCCCCGCAAAGACGATGGAGTGATGGAGTCTGCGGCACCTGCCCCTGCAGCCTCTGCCCCTGCAGCCTCTGCCCCTGCAGCCTCTGACCCTTCATCCCCTTTCATTGCTGTTTGTGAGGCCCCTCTCTTTGCCTGGTTCCCAAAGAAAAGCACAAGAACTTCCATGGCTTTGAGGGC